GGAGCAGAACGTGAACTTAAGAAATGGTTCCAAACCTTAGACCAGAAAAAGATTTCAGAAGAAGTCGCATCTAAAAATATAATTTGGAAATTTAACCCTCCCGGAGCTCCACACATGGGTGGAATCTGGGAAAGGATGATAAGATCTATTAAAACAGCTCTGAAGATCAGTTTGAAGTCCATCAATCCAAAAGAAGAGGTTTTGGTAACCTTGATGAGTGAAATTGAATATATTATTAATTCAAGGCCCTTGACACACATATCAGTCGATCCAAACGAGCCAGAAGCTATCACTCCGAACCATTTTCTGCTACTGCGACCAGGTGATGTCAGATCATTCGGCAATGTGGAGCTTTCTAGCAGAAAGCAATGGAGAATTGCACAAGTATTGGCAGATACGTACTGGAAACGATGGGTAATTGAATATAGACCAACACTTCTTCAGAGACGAAAATGGCATGACAAAACTAATCCTATTAGAATTGGCGACATAGTTTTGATTGTGGACGAGAAGGCACCTAGGAATCAGTGGATCATAGGAAAAATAGAAGAAACGTTTCCCGGTAAAGACGGAGTCATCAGAATTGTTCGAATTAGGAATAAGCATGGAACATATGTGAGACCTGTCACCAAAGTGTGTATTCTTCCAGTCAAGAGTTGATATACTCACTTATTTTATTTGTATTTTTTTATATCAGTTAATTGTTCATCACTATGTATAAGTTGTTAGATAAATATCATAGGTTGTTTGAGAATTAGACAGAGGAGAAAAAATAAGAACTGTCAAAAAAAGTCATTAAAGGCGAAATCGTTTGAATTCGTTTTTAATATTATTAAGTATTTTACAGATGCGAATCAAATCTCAAAAAATTCAAGACAAAAATTAAATAATTTGTTAATAATATACCACGAGCAAAGATACACAGACAAATATAAATTCAAATATTTACTTCCACGATTGTGGATATATATTGTGTATTTATTCGTTTTTAGTCTGGAACCCTCATGATTTAAATCTATATCAATCAAATTTCAAATCAAATTTATTTATTCCATGTTAATATACAATTTGTTTTATGACATACATAATTAATAAATTTCAATTATCTTGAATGAGTAACTTTCACCTAGACATTGAAATGCCTGTATTGTGATCTGTTACTCACCAAGATAAGAGCTCAGTAAGTACATTTTATACAATAATAAAAAAAATATGATGATATTATAATAATCCATGGTAGTACGATTAGTGAGAAAGAGAAAAAAATAAAATAAACATTTTTTTTTCAAACTCTGAGGAAACAAAAACAAAAAAAAAACAATATACAAATGGTATAGGAATTGCTATTCAATGTGTAAAATTCTTTTTTATTCCTTTTAGTATATGTCAAATTTTTGAGGGTTTTCGATTATGAATTNATGTATATGTTTTATCAGTTTGCTAGTTATTTCGTCAGGACCTGGTGCACTATAGTTTTTTAACTTAGAAATTAGACATATTATTTCATTTTCTGTCAC